TTTCCGGGCTAGTATACCAATCTCCCTCCCACTTCATACCCTCGGGCGGTTTCATATTCTCTCTAATCAGCTCGATCTTTCCAGTGCTGTCCGACCAGGCCGGCCGAGTCAACGAAGGCCGCTTTGAAGTCCATTGGCCAAGGACCCACACCTGATTTTCGTACTGAAGTAGCCAGAAACATCATATTAAATAGATTTTATCATAAATGAGCCAGAGGCTAAGTGTAATAAGTATTATAGTAGAGTTTCGAGACCAACAGTAAATCAGTAATATGAGATGTATTCATTCTATTTCGTCTAGTTGAGCTGACGTTTCCATTGCATTTCACATAGCCTTGTTTTCCAAAAGTTGTTCTTATCCAGGATGGACTGCAGTTTCGACCTCGCATCGGTTTTATCAACACCCTCAGCGGGAGTCGAACCGCGAATCCCGCGAATCCTATGTGAAATTAAATGGAAACGTTAGCTCAACTCATATCATTGTGGGAAAATTCTAATACCAGTCCTTCATCACATTAGACGAAATTGGGTCAATACATCTCATATTAAGTGTAATAAGGTTTGAGGGAGCGGTTAAAACCATGAGCTAATGCGGATACATGCAATACAAACATTTATGTTATTTTTATCCTTAAATATCATAGTAAAATGTAGAGGATGAAATGATCGGAGTAACTAAGACGGTTCAATTTAAAGTTATCTTTTAGCGCTAAAATTCCCTCAAAACAAACAACTAGTAGAACACCCAAAAATATGCCATCAGTTTAGTGGAAAAATGGAAGAAAATCTGTTCATTGCATTGATTAGAAATTGGAATTATAAGTCGCAGTGCATCTCTCTTGAAAGCCCCTTTGCTGCTTCATTGATGAGCAGTTAATTCCCTCTCGGTGAAATGGGAGGAATTCAATCCAACTTGAATTAAATAACTGAATTATCCACGAAAGTGGACTGTATTTGTCGACAAGTTTATGCTTATCTATAGTTTGTTTCAAGGTTATTTAACTCTGCACTAGCTTGGTAGTAAGGATGTACATATTACGCGAGAGGAATAGGTAAAAACTTGGGAATAAAAGGCTGAAATGTAGTACAATTAAAACTCAGACAGTCCATCCAAACCTATCTATTTGCTCCTGAAATAGCGAATGACTAATAACTTAGCTGGTTGCTAAGCCATCTCGTAATAGAAGGTTATAAAAATGAGAAATAAATACTATCCGCCGGCGGCAAGAAAACATGATTAGAGGATGTAAGCATCATGTAGAAAGAAAATCTGAAGAGGATTACCAAAGCATTAGAAGAATTAAAAAAATAAGGTAGTATCTTACCGTCTCCGCAACTATGGCCAACTTTGAATCATCCTGACACTCATACCAGTTGGGCTCATCCCTCTCCAAACCCAGCCATAGAGTAACTCGAAGTTGCGCAGGGATTTTCCACTGAGCTGTATCAATATCCTTCGCCAGACAAGGGTACTGTTAAAATAAATAAAAATCTGCTCTCATGCTCGGCCTTCTTAATGATATTGTATAGATGATTCTACCAAAATAATCTTAGCATTCTTTGTTCATTAAGTTACCAGTGACCAAGTTGTATGTTACAATTCAGCACATCGTCTTATGAACTCACTTTTAATTATTTTCTCCAAGGCTGAGTCAACAAACTTTGTTAGTTGTTGACATTCTGTTTTTGTACATATGCTTGGTGATATAACTTTCTTGGAGTGTATCAAGTTAAAACTAAATAGTGAATAAGTAGAGGAGAATATAAAACCCAGTAAGAAAATAGAATTCGGCCCCAATACATAGATATGTAAAAAACAGAGTAATTAAACTAAGAAAAATAGCCAGCCAAATGTAATACTATATAAAATTAATTGCATTTACCAAGTAAAGATATCAAAAGCCTTTTACCCTTGCGGTCAGCTTATTCAATGCATGTTTATTTAATTTAAATAAAGATAGAAGTTGTTTGACCTTGTTTTCGCAACTTGGTCATATTGGCAGTAAGACTTAGAGGAACACACCTAGCCCGAAGTCCATCGTATGTATGATCATTTCCAAAGTCGTACTGTGGACGTAATACATTCCCAGACATTTCGCCGGCATCGTCAGTGAGTCTCGTCATTCTTAGCACCACACAACAACTCGTCAAAGAGGCAAGTGAAGCCGATCCTTTAACCAAACGTTTGCTAAACAATTGTGGTATCTCCCCATCTGCCCTGGGTTATTCGCGTTTCATGTATTATCCTATCACGCCTTCACTATTATAATTTTTACCGTGTTTATTTAGATATAGATTGGTATGATAATGAAGGCATGATAGGATGATACAAGAAACGCGAATAACCCAGGGCAGATGAGGAGATACCAAAATTGTTCAGCACACGTTTGGTCAAAGGATCGGCTTCACTTATCTCTTTGACGAGTTGTTGTGTGGTGCTAAGAATGGCGAGACTCACTGAAGATGCCGACTACGATGCCGGCGAAACGTTTGTAAATGTACCACGTCCACAGTTTTACTTTGGAAATGATCATGCATACAATGGTCTCCGTACAAGGTGCGTTCCTCATGGTCTTCCTGCCAATATGACCAATTTGCGAAACCAAGATTTAACAACCTCTATACAACGAAAGGAGACTGCGACCATACAAAAGGCTACACCATCTTGGTCTTCATACCTTCAATTAAACAAAGATAATTTACCAGAGGCTTGAGTTGAAGTTTTCGGAAAATTAGGCTTTGCCATGTTTGCTAAAATAATGCAACTCTTTTTAACTAAAATTCGGCCAACAATGTTTCGGATTGTGATGAATAGCGAGCATAAGAAACATAAGCAATATTACAGATTAAAAGTTTTACCGGAGTATACGTTCATTTTTCATCCATGTAAAGCTCTCTAGTTTTTATATAAACTCGCTATAAAGTCTCTGTGGAA